GCTATAGCTGGGGCACACAAGTTGCATTGTACGGTAATACTGCTATAGCTAGGGAGTACTGAGTACAGAAGTAGTACTATGTCAATAGTTACTGTACACTGTACAGATGAGGATGAGCATGAATATCGATCTGCAGCTAGTAAATTTTGCACACTGGAAAACGACTGCTGCCCCTGGTTTTGCACGATTCATTCCTTTGACCATGATCGGGGAAGGTGACGCTGTGACTAAATATATGCATGTATATAAGACACTGCTACTCTATAGTATAATAGGTAGATGATTTTGTAAATTTCAAGTTCTTATTAGTTAGTATATTATATCTTTATTACTTGAGAATTTTTGCGTCCAGCATTTTGTACCTCCCGATACTAGTACCTATAGGTACCAAAACAAATCAAAACCGTTTAATTCCGGGTAAGATCGGGAGAAAAAAATAGCAGAGTAGGTGGCGGCAGAGGAGGAGGCGGCGGCGGGGTGGTGGGGGCGACGCCACGACGGCGGACCAGGCGCCGGTGAAGGAGGCGGTAGCCGCGGCGGCGGCAAAGCGTTGCTAGCGGAGGAGGAGGTGGCAGTAGGGGCGGCGAGGTGACGGAGCAGGAGGAGGAGGAGGCGGCGACGGTGGAGTAGGCGCCCGCAAAGGATCGGAGGAGGAGGCGGCAGCGACGGCGGAGTAGGTGCCGGCAGCAGAGGACATGCGGAGGAGACGAGGCACGGCAGCTGGGACGAACGAGACGACGCACGCCTATCCTTCCGCCCGTAACTCTCTTATCCATCCGCACGCGAAATTACATTCTTGCCCCTCCACCTCTATTTATCGCGAAGTACCAAATCAGGGGCAGAAGTGGTACCTGGCGGGTAGGGATGCACGTGGGCCGGGTTAACCCAACTACCCAGCGACCCAGCCCATGAAACATGGGGTCAAAACCTCATGGGCTTACCCATGAAATTTCATGGGTCATCATGGGTCGACCCACAGTGACCCATGGAGCATTATGGGCCGACCCATTAGCTAGGTTTCAGGTCGAGTACCAGGCAGGCAGGACCAGCTGCGCTGCCGCATCGCTCCTCACACTCCGCCGCCGCCGCATCGCGCTGTGGAGCTCTGCCCCTCTGCCGTTGCCGTCTACCATGGAAGAGCGAGATGCGCACCCTCAAGATCGCCGCTTGGATGCTCCATTTCTCCTCCCTGCAGCGCCATGCGCACCCCCAAGATCGCCGCGCAGCTGCCACCAGCAGACCTCCCAACCGGCCATAGAAGAAGGGGATGGATCATATGGGCGGATGCTCCAACTTTCAGCGCCTCACCCACCATCACTCTCGCCGCGCCGCCGCCAACGATGGACCTCAACATGTGTCGATGCTGCAGGTATGCAAGATTCTCTATTTGCTTTGAATCAAGAAATTGGGAGGAATTGATTGGATGTGTGCATTATATTGGGAATTTGGGATAGATTTAGAATCAGTTCCTGAAGGGCAAAGATTCAATGAAAGCTAAGTCAGGTTCCAAAAGGAAACGTGAGTATCATCGGATTATAGTGAGAACTGAGAACTGTGATTCAGTTTGCCCTGGACCTTGATCTGTTTCTTTTGGACCTGTTTAGGCAGAGATATGTTTTGTCTCCTTGGCTGCCTTAAGATTTTTCTACAGACAATGAGAAATTGGTCTTTTCCTGCCTAATACTATGTCTCTACTCTTTAGTGACCTCTGAATAGTATCTAGAAATTTCTGCTTGGCCTTATGTTTGAATACTAATGTTAGCAATGGTACTTGGTTCCTATCAGTTTGTCGGTTTTAGGTTGATTTTAGGCTGATGTCAAATGATTAATCATCTAAGAATTTTTGGCTTGTATGCTACGTGCTGCGTGCTGCGGTGCTGGTGTCATTTTGCTTGTATGATGCCCTGCAGTTTGCTTGCTGCTGTTAGCCGCGGGCCGCCCCATGGATGGCTCTTGGGTCAGTGGGCCAAGCATGTTTTGTGGGTCGGCTTGGGTACCGTGGGTCAGACCTTAGGTCGACCCAGCCCGACCCACGTGCATCCCTACTGGCGGGGGTGTGGCTAATGGGCGATCGATTGTGTGGATCGATCACCACCTATTCCCCCTATACGCTCTTACTCCCCTTCTTTTCTTCCAACTACATCATAAATTTAAAAAAAATAAAAACGACGTTGGAAAACATTATGTATAGAAATACTATATATAAAAAAATATTTGAATTCAAATTCAAATTTGAAACGGGTATAAACTTTAGGTGTATAAACTTTATATGTATATAAATACTATATATAAAAAATATTTGAATTCAAATTCAAATTTGAATCGGATATATAAATTTTTGACTTATAAACTTTAGGTCTCTCAACTTTAGATGTGTAAACTTGAGGTGTACAAGCTTTAGGTGCATAAATTTATTTAAATTTAAATAGAAAAGTAATGTGGTGCCAAAAAAATAAAACCACGTGGAGGAGGAGAGTTGATCGCTCCAAGCGATCGATAGTCCGTTAGCCTTTTCGATCTGGGGTACCTAACTCTGTCAACCGTTAGATCTGGCCCAATCCAACGGACATAATTTGGTACTGCCAAGTACTGTTGGACGGTAAAAATCTTATTACTTTCGTTTTGGTTGCCGATTATTACACGATGTTCGCCATAACGGCGTTTAATTAGCAGCTGACGCCCTAGCTCGCTGCAGGCCTTGTTTTGACTTTCTCATCCCACAGCCCGGCCCAAATGCTTCTGATCCTCTCAGATGGGCCTGTCAATAGAAAGAGAATTTGGCCCATGATATTTCTCTTTCTTTTTAGGAAACAGTACACCGAAGGTCCCTCAACTTGTCATCGAGTTACAAAATCATCCTCAAACCGTAAAACCGGATACAACACATCCCTCAACTTACAAAACCAGTGCAAACTAGGTCCCTCGACAGTTTTGACTCCAGTTTTATCCGATGTGGCAGCTGACTTAGCTTGGGACCTACGTGGGTCCCACATGTCATCCTCTTCTTTCCCTCCTCTCTTCCTCTCTCCTCTTCTTTTCTCTCACTGGCAGCGCAGCCAGCGGGTGGGGAGGAGGCCGGTGGGGGAGGCGGGAGTCCGGTGGCAAGGCAGTGGCGAGGCGACGATGCGGCGTCGCCGACGGTGCGGGTGCGGTGTTCCATCTGCTCGTGCGCCATGTTGCTGGCGTGGTTGGCGGGGAGGCTGGAGGAGTACTTGTGGGAGGTGGGGAGCGGCGTGGGCAAGGCGGCGGCGGTGGCGGCACGGTGGAGGTGGCGGCGACGGGGAGGCCTTGGAGGTGATCCTCTCAAAGCTGAAGGTGAGCATGGAGGAGGCGGTGGAGGCCTCGATCTTGAGGTCGTCGTGCTTGCGGAGGACGTTCTGTGCTATGGCCTTGACGTATTCGGAGCGGTTTTCGGCCTCGGCGACGGATTCCTCGGCCTTGCGGTGGAGGGGCGCTCCTCTTCCAGGTTAGCAGCCAGGTCGTGCAGGCGCTACGCCTGCGCATGGGGTTGGGGTTTTGAAGGGGATGGGGATTTTTGGGAGGAAGAGGAGGAGGTGGAGGGAGGGGGCGGGAGAGGGACAAAGGGTCCTCTTCGCCGTGTCGTCGCCGCCGGCTTCTCGTCGCTCGTCCACTCGTTGGGAGGGAGGACCGAGGTGGGAGGATGTCGTTAGGCGGTGCAGCGGTCGGGCCGAGGTGGCGAGCGTCGACGACGACGAGGCGTGCGAGCTGGTAAGCGGTGCGGACCTCTTCATCGGTGGCGACGTCGACGATGAGGGCGAGGCGTCCGCGCATACCTCTTTCGCCTCCCCCGCTGGACGCAACCACCCGGGAGCCACTGTCACCGGCCGCACCACCCTCTGGCCGTGCACACCGCCGCCTGTGCGAGAGCAGAGAGCGAGTGGGAGGAAGGAAGGAGAGAAACAAAGAAACTGAAGAGGGGAAAGAGAGCAGGTGCTGACGGGGACACCCTGCCATGTGAGGTCCACGTGGGTCACACGCTAACTCAGTCGTCACATGGGACAAAACCGGGGTCAAAACAGCCGAGGGATCTAGTTTGCACTAGTTTTGTAAGTTGGGGGATGTGTTGTATCCGGTTTTGTGGTTGGGGGACGATTTTGTAACTCGATTACAAGTTGAGGGACCTTCTGTGTACTTTTTCCCCCTCAGATCACATCTCTCATGGTCCATAGGGGCGGCTAGGCCCAGGCCTGCGTCCATGGGAATTAGGCGCACAAACGCGCGCGGCCCAGTCGAGGCTTCAATCTCACTACCTGAATGTATTACTGCTGGTTCGATTGAAGAAGAAAAAAACAAAATATGGTAGACAACGTATATAGATTATGTGATTATGAATTCATTGACGTTTTCTTCCGGATTGTAATTAAGTTTATGGTTTAAAGTTTGAATTGAGAATTCGGACGGCCGAAATAACATTGAAGATATTTATTTATTTTACCTAGTCATTGTTCTTTTTTTCTTTTTACTTGTATATGCTCTGAGTTTACACGGTGAACAGTCTGTCTGAATTTTGACACATCCCTGCATTTGGTAAATTCGCATTCAGGCAGCAAATTAAGAAATCACTCTGATCAAGAACTGGAAATTTTAACTTCAAACTAGCTGATAACTTTTCCATTGTAGTTTGTAAGCACTTCATGATATATAATTCCAACTATATTCCGCTAAGATAGCTCCTAGCTTGTGAACTCATTTCTCCCAAGTATGAAATGTACTTTCAAACCCTTCCATCTATTTTACAATATATTATGTGCTTGTATCCTCTAAATGGGCCAAAACAAGGACTGTAGTGGTTTAAGCTTATAGGGCCAAGACAATTTATAACTTTATATGACTCAATACAATGATACTCCCTCCGTTTCACAATGTAAGTCATTCTAGACATATATATCACAATGTAAGTCATTCTAGCATTACCCACATTCATATAGATGTTAATGAATGTAGGCACGCATATATATCTAGATTCATTAACATATATATGAATGTGGGCAATGCTAGAAAGTCTTATAATATAAAACGGAGGAAGTATTTACCTTTGAGACAGTAAACACAAAAACCTCCCAAAGAAATTAGATAGTATACATAAACTATGTATGCATCCAGGTACATTGATGCCACAAACTCCATTACCAAAAACCTTAATACGCCAGAGCACCAGAAGCTGGTTTTAGAGCAGTATCAGTATACCTGCTGTTACTACTTATTATCACAGGCAGTAGCTTCAGGCAATGACAAGGCTGATGCTGCCTCAAAATGTGTCACATCTCCAGCATGGATTCTCTTCTGCAGGTTCTCCAAGCTTGCGACACGCCGCACGGACGGTGACCTCAAGGCCATTGCTGCACTTGGCACAGGAATTGCTTCATCTGGGAGGCTACAGTTTGTCCAGTCGTCTTCGACGAGAGCAGCAGCAGCAGCAGCAGAAGCTGCGTCTGATACACCTGAAGAAACGGGCATGCTGCTTGCAGGCATTTCAGATGTAGTGAACAATTGAAGTCCTATTCCAGTTACTCTCCTCACCGCTTCTTCAGCTATATTCACCTGAACACAAAGCACTTCGTTACAACGTAAACGATATGAAACCATAAGATTATTAGCAACCACAAGCTACATTAATATAAATTATTTTGAGAAGAACAATAGTATAAATCAGTGTCTCAGTTGTAGCTCCACAACAGATCTATTACAGTAAACATTTTACAGAATTTAAGTTAAACCCGAGCTGATGTTTTTGGGAAAACAAATTCAACTTTATATATAAAGGGACAGAACAATAGGTTCTTATGTATACATGTTCCTTTTGATATCTCTTTGTGTGTAGTGTTGTTGAAAACAGGATTGAGAATTTGAGACTACCAATAAAGCCTACTTTGCAGCAGCAGTCATCACTGTACTGAATGTTTTGAAAAAAAAAAACACCTTACCATGCAAGACATAAATACAGAGTTGTGCATATACTCACATACAAGCATTAAACAAATGTTTGTATGATTGTGCCCTGTTTGGACTCCTCATATGAAGGTTTTCGTTCTTCTCAGAGAAAAAAGCCCTTCCATAAGGAGCAAACCATAGATTTAATGGGACACACTCTTGGAGCATCACAACATGGTACAAGCGCTTTTAAAATGTTTTGTTTCTTTTTTTACAACGCCACACCTGTAAGAGAACATTGTTATTCTTAAAACCAAAACTAAAACAAGAAAAATATTAAAATACACTAGTCTCTTCCTATTCCACATAGAGAGAATAATACGTACCTGCATCCTCAGAAGAAACAGAAAATTAAATCAAAATATTATAATGCTATGTAAATGGGCTGCATTAGATCGAAACATTTTAATTATAGAAAGAATACTATGTAAATGGACAGCTTCTGGACTACAATCAACAGATTCATAGCCCTTCAATGGGAATAAAAGAAGTGCTGGATGTAATCAAACGGTCACAACAACAAAAAGAAAATACCTTTCTCCTCATAGCGTTCATGTCATCTTGAAGATTGCCATATTCTGTGGTAGATTGCTTATATTTCTGAGTCATGTCAGACAAGCGCTTTTGCAGAGATGCATTCTCAGATCTTAACTGGGAAACCTAGATGATAGTGTAGTAATTAGCATTGCCTTCTCAGTTAGTACTATACTTAAGCATTCATGGTTCATGATTTGAGACCTGTGATTCTAGATCGTTTAGGTGAGCTTGCTTCCTTTTTCTTGACCTCCTGGCTGATTCCCGATTTGACAGCATTCTAATCACAACATAACACCAAGAGATTCATCAGCACGTAAAAGGCTGCAATAGTTTTCCAACACTGCAATGTCATCGATATAAATTCTAGAACATGTTATATGCTTGAAATAAGAAACTGATATCAAGATTTATTTCACGGTATGACTGTATCTTTAACAAACTAAGTAGTGGAGGAATCTAATCCAATACCTCCTTGTCCGCTTTGCATTAACGGGGTCCGTATCTTCCTCAAGATCGCCATCATCATCTGACTGTTCCTTTGATGTACCACTATTAGCTGGTTTACCTTGATCGTCATCTTCATGTATGGCATTTGAGTTTGTTACTCTGGTTGATCCATAGCCTATAGTAAAGAAGTAAAGAGACCAAAAGAGTAAAAGACGATAGTATATGATAGTGACATTTCAATTGCTGCAAAACCACCTAAACGCGTTCCAAAGCGTCAATTGTAGGTTCCCCTGCACCCATCAGATGGTGCAGAAATTCATCTGCAGTGCGCATTGCCAGGAATCATATTGGTGGCAACAAGGTTGCATATCCAATATATGATGACGGTGTTCCACGTCACAGAAGCAGGATCAGGGTACATATCTCCCATCTTTATATTGGTGGCACCAAAATTTTACATGTACCCCTTTTTTATCATTTGGGCATTAGTTAACCTATTTACTGAAACTGTTGATGAAACCAGATTCTTCTGAACTCTGTTTCTGTTAGCTTTCTTATAAAGCTGTCAAGGCAGATGATATTTGGCCAATCTAAGAAAACACTTCTTTCAGACAACTTCCTCTAGGATATAACTGTGGCACGGTTTTTTTCCCAAGTTGCCATAGATTGATATATATGCGACTATGGAAGTTCATACATACCATTAAAAGAATCTTGAGAAACCAATTGTGAAGTGTCTGAGGCTTGTAAATTGAGGTAGCCCAAAGAAGATTCTTGCAGTTTAGCTTCCTGAAATGGATGTAGATAAATATCTATATATCACAAGCAACGAATGATCAAGGGGCTTGTCACAGCCAGCACATGGGACTTCTACCGCTATAAACTCCAGAAAACTGCTCGTATGTAATACATCAAAAGGTATAGCCCATAATTCTCCAGAACTACTGAGGAAGAACCTACAATATTGTCCAAGGTTTTCTGTTATGTACTGAAAAAAAACTGAAGAAAACAAACATGTGTTGTTTTTAACTGAATCCACAATTGAGGATTGTGTAACTAAAAAAAAAAGAAGCAAGGATTTAAAAGAAAAGATATTTTGTGAAAAGTGGCCCTCAAGACCTCAACTAGCAAGTAGCTTACTCCTAGAGAAATAGCTCCAGAACTACCAGTGATTTGAAATTGTGGCAACTAGTAACAGAGAACAAAGTGTTGAGGTTTCTATGGGTAGTGAAAAGACCCCAAACCATAGAACAATGAAACACTCATTTGAAAACCTCAGGTTAGAATTTACGCTAACAAATAAATGATCATAGGAAAGGAATCAATTGTAGCTGAACCGCTGAGTCTCTTTTAATAGATACTGCTTAAGTTTTCAAATGAAACAACTGGTCAACGGGGCATCAAAACTATAATGAGAGAAGTGGAATGAAATAGTGGACAACATATCTGGCACAAGGATTCCAAAAACCAGAAATCGGTCCAGAGTCAGGGGCTAGTTAGGGAGTAATTACCAGCTGGAAGGCCATGAATTCGAATTCAAACTTTGAATTTTAAACTTAAATTTAGACTTTTTCTGTCCGATTATTGCCGTGGACCAATAATCCCTAAAACGGGTTGTGAAAACACAGAACCCTGTCTGATGCTCGAAACTGCAGAGCTTATGAAGAAACCATGCCTCTTTATGCATTAGACTTCAGATATTATTAGTTTACCTGTCTCTTTCAGAAAAAAAGAATATGACCAAACTTTTTCACAACACTAAAAAGTTGAAAAAGAAAGGAAAATCCTACTGGTTCAACCCTTAAAACGTCACATTCATCCAGTCCTTTGTGATCCACTTGTCCATGAGAGAATATCTTCAAGACTGTTCATGTGCTCCCGTTGACAAGTCAGCTTCCCTCCATGCCACAAGTTAAACCATACCAAATCAACGATCTTACGTATCAGTACATCAAGATTCATCAAAGATCAAGCATCCAGAGTTCATCTCCCCTAGCCCCCCTTGTCTTCAGGCAGAAAAGCCATGGTGCTACTTGGTATCATGGTATCATTTTCATGTAAAATCATAAGCAAACCAACGAATTGCCGTAGTACTTTAGACATTTTATTGAGTCTTATTTTAAGATTTGATCCCAAGGTTGTCTGACTATTCAGACATGTGACTGAAAGATACCGTCTTAATCAGACATTTAGTTGGATTTACAATTTCCATTAGTTTCATTAATAGAATTGGTTACTCATGCCACCCATTCATTAGCCAGAATATTTTCTCTTTTCACAATCCATACTCTCTCTTCTTCTTCTTTTTTTTCTATTCATAATCCATACTTTGCCTGTCTATTATGGTGCAGTTGGCCATGAACCAAATGGTCCTATGCTACGTTACCCCGATACGGCAGCTGACCCTCGTATCAGTATCTGATACGCGTCCGGATACGGATACGTGCGGGATACGGCCGGATACGTATCCCGTACGTATCCCTCATTTTTCTCTTTTTCAGATAATTAAAAAAATACCGATACTCCTCCGATACGATGGGATACGTAACTGATACAGGGGAGCCCGAAACCACACAGAACAAAACGCATCTCCCGTTCTCCCCCTCCACACGCGCCGCCGCTCGCAAAAACCAATCCCCATCGCAGTGCCGCCCGGCCGCCCCGACCACGCCGTTGCTGCGTCGCTGCGCCGCCTCGTCGACGGCCCACCGCCAGCGACCGGCACCGCGCCGCGCCGCCGCCTACAGCCTTCTCCGTGCCCCCTCCTCTGCACTCTCCTCCAGTAGCTCCAGACTCCTCCACGAGGCGTCGCGCCGCTGCCTCTGATCAATCCTGCATCACGCCGCTGCCTCTGATCATTCCTGCATCACCTCCGACGAAGACGACGTTGAGGACTTGAGGTAAATCCTGCATCATCTACTATGTGAACAATGTTGTCTAATGTCTACCATCTATTTGAAGAACTATGTTATTTTCATGATTTCATCTACTGTGTAGTCTTGCACTTATTTATGCATGCCTCTTCAATAAATGGTGACTTGGTGAGATGCTGTGAGCCTGTGAATCTGTCGTACTGAGATATCATATATATGATGATTGGTGCATTGGTGGTTTGATGCTGTTTGCTTCCTATTTTTTCAGTCCATATCTCACACTCAATTTTTTTTGTATTTTTTAATTATTATATATATATATATTCGCGTATCCCCGTATCCATGTTTTTGGGAAGATGGTGTATCCCGGTATCGCCGTATCACGTATCCGTATCCGTATCAACGTATCGGGGTAATGTAGGTCCTATGAACGCGAAAAATAAACAATAGTAACTCTAAGAAAGTGTCATTAGCTTATGGCAGCATAGAATCCTCAAATGGAGCAGCAATTTCCTAATTTTTTTTCTTTCTTCATAATTTCTTAAACTTGAAAATCGCAGCAGAAAATCCTCCTAAATGGGGGATTCAAGAACTCCCAAATGGCCTCAAAATCGAACTGCGCCTCAGCGAATCGAACAAAAATAAAGATGCGATCTTTGGATTAAAAAAAAAAGGTACGAGATTTACCATCGATTTAGCCACGGCCGCGCAGTACAGGTCGAGCTTCGTCTTCAGCACCGCCGCGTAGGCGCCCGGATCGCCGCCGCCGCCGCCGCCGCCGACACCGGCGCCGCCGCGCTTCATTCTCGCAAAGAAAAAAAGTTGCCTCCTTTTTCAGAGAGGAGTAGATTTTTTTCAGAGAAAACTGAGCAACGGCAATGGTGGTGGTGAGTGGTGACTTTGCTTCGGCCGGGTGTAACCATAGCAATTTATATTGGTGGAGTGGGGCCCACATGGCAGTGGCAGGAAGGGCCCAAGAGCCAATGAGCGAATGGTTTTAGATTTTTTGTTCACTACCTGAAATGCCCTTGTTTTGTTTGAAAAGATTTATTCTTTCATGTAGGAGAAAGGAATATATTTTACTACTACTGTTCTTTTTTTTTCTTTCTCCTTATCTGGAACACTGCAACATGAAAGGGACAATTAATTAGTGTACAAAATGTGATGTTTAATAAAGTTTTCAGGTTCTAGTAACATGATTGTGATGTGGTACTTCCAGATTAGTAAGCCATCTTTAACTCAATTAAGTAAGACTGTTTGTGATTCTGTTGATAGCCAATGATGAATTTTAGGATTTGTTTTGGGGGTTTTTTTTCCGATGCTTTCATTGCCCACCTTTTTTTCAAGGTAACTTAAGAATTTAACATTAAAAATTCAAAATTGTTTTGAGTTTTAAGTGTTCAAAATTAAACGAATCCCTGTTTTACAAATTTCGAAAAAAAAAAGTGGAGGTTGTGGATTACAACATCGCTTTGTGGTATTTACATGGTTTTGGAACCCCCTACACTTTGGCTTAAACAACACTCTAAAATTCACAAAATAAAGATTCTCTAAAAATCAAAGCCATTTATAAGGAAAAAAGTTACAAAGTAGTTATAATTTACATCCATAACAAAAGAACATATTCGTGTTATGATAGAAAGTAGTAATATCCACTAAACTCCCAAATAGGTCCAACCATGACAAATTCAAGTGTTTGATAAAAATTAAACTTGTTCCAAAGCATAATCCAAAAACAAGTTGATCGAATTCAAAGACAGCCTCTTTTGACAAAGGAAAGAAGGACCGGACACCTTTGCAAAGTTCAGACCATTTTGTACCATAGGCCGTGTTTAGATTCAAATTTTTTTGTCAAACATCAACTTTTCCGTCACATCAAATGTTTGGACACATGCATGAAACATTAAATGTGAAAAAAAAACCAATTGTACAGTTTGTATGTAAATTGCGAGACGAATCTTTTGAGCCTAATTACGCCATGATTTGACAATGTGATGTTACAGTAAACATTTGCTAATGACGAATTAATTAGGCTTAATAGATTTGTCTCGCTGTTTATAGACGGAATCTGTAATTTGTTTTGTTATTAGTCTACGTTTAATACTTCAAATGTATGTCCATATACTTAAAAAAATTTGGCACACGAACTAATCATAGCCTATAGCATCTTTTTCACAAAGAAAAAGAAAAGTAGTCAGGGCATGAGCAGTGCATGGTACTTAAACTTATGTCCCAACTCATCACATAGGTTCCTATATGGTGGACACCAGCTCTACAATGGTTCTCCTACTACGTTTTTCGTTTCAAACTTTGATTTCTTGTATGCTAGCCATTTTCATATTTTGTATTAAAAATCATCCAAAACTTTCATATTTTACTCCTGTAACAAAAATAAAACTGCATATATACCCTACCTACCAATGGACCTACTCGTTAGGTACCGTAGCCGAACTTTTTCCTCCCCTTCCCCCTCCCCCTCGCGCACACACACATTTCAATTCCTCCCGATCGCCTCCCATTCACCTCATTGCATCCTCTCCTCTTCATCTTCGCCGGTGCAACCTCCTCCTCATCGCCTACTCCCCTCTCCATCTCCATTAGTGCCACCCTCCTTCCTTTGCCCCTTCCCATCCCCCTCTCCTCTGCAATGGTAGATCGAGCTCCGACGACACAAACCAAGCTTGGCAGCGGCGGATGGAGCTATGGTGGAGCTGATGGAGTTCTAACAACGCAAATAGAGCTCCGGCAGAGGGATCAAACTTTGGTGGCAGCGGATCGAGCTCCGACGGTCGAGCGCCGAAGTGTTGAACCGAGCTCCGACTCAGAGCACACACGGGGATGGCAAATCAGGGCGATGACCTCAATGACAACACGCGTGGGTGGCTACGTGGATCTGGAGTGGCCGAGGTGAGTTCATCGCATGGTCTTCCTCTCCTGAGCACTTCTTCTCTGGCCGCCAGAGCTTGGGGAGACACCGGGGTGTGGGGTGTGGGAGTTGCGGGGGCACAAGGAGGCGTGGGCATGACCTCCCCAACGCGATTTCGAGTCGTCACCCGGTCGGTGTGTCACACATCTTCACCCTAACAAATCCCGACAAGGCTCTCACGTCTTCCTAGGGCTGAGGGATTTGCTTAGGACATAATTGGCACACACGCGTGGAGGGGAATCTCCTCGCTATCACCTTGGGGCTGAATGCCACATAGACGCACTATGAATGGCCCCGTGAGAAGAGTGAGAGCCAAGTAGACAAAGTATCCTCGTCAATTGTATTCAAAGATAGGAGGACAGACACAGCACAATGGACAGAACTAAAAGCTATCAGAGCTATAGCTTCTGCATCAACCATCCAGGCTGTGCTTGCACTGACACTGTAGCTAGCAATCCAGCCAACCAGCAACCTCCACAATAAATACACTAACACATATAACACCCAGCTCTTGTTGAACCTAACATAACATCAGGAAATTAATCAATCATGCAAGCAAATCTGAAACCAGACAGGGACTCTCCATCTGACATATGCATCAATCTTCATCTCCCAGCTCATTTTCCTTGCTGCTTCACACACACATGCTTGGACCCTACTACCCTCTCAATCTCCAGGCATTATGTTCTCCATTAGCCAAAACCCATCACACCATCCCAGAAGACAAGGAGTATAGTGCCCTTGCATTGGATGCTACTCTCTGAACTCCCTGTTTCTCTCTCTCTCTCTGATCAGAGTGAGGCTAAGCTAGATGGATGATAGCCTTGACCAGCATTAATCTTTTCCTTGGGTTTCATGTGCACCACATGTAGTCTGTCTGACTAGCTCTAGACAGGTGCATGTTACCATTGCTGGATGAGTTGTGTGTGTGTGGGTGTGTAGTTTCAGGCACACAGATTAGTTCAGCACTGACCATGGAAGGCTTGTCCCTTGATGACCAGCTTGATCTATCTGCCTCTCTGGCTAATAAAGCTTAATTACTTTGCTTGGTTTTGTCACTCTTGACAAGTGGATCAATGGTTAATTAAAGATTTAACTGGATCTTGGATTGTTAAAACTGTTAATCTCTCCCTCCGTACATGTTTAAACCTGCTCAAGGGTCAAGACAAGGAGCATCTGATGAAAGGACAAGATTTGGACACACCAAGCAGTTGTATATATTTATAATTTTCTTTTACTTCAGTCACTTGGGTGAATCATAGCTTGTCCCTTTTTTGCAAAGTGATGCTGTCTGAAGAGGAGAAAATTGTCTTGTGTTCTCTGCTTCTTCTTGGAAACAGAGCAATGACTGATGGCTTAAGTTTGTGCCTCCTAATTGAGATTCAGAAAAACCACCAAGAGTGTGAAGGATTAGTGGACTAAGTGAGCATATGGTGAAGTTGTTACTGATTAGTTAACCATAATGAACGATGCAGAAGTAATTTTCTGCCGTTCTTGCAAATTGATGATAATCTGGATGGAAATCAAAGCATTGAAGCCAGAGGGAGAAGTACACACAGCCCATGCATACATGCATTCTTCTTCCCTCCAGTTACAAAAGTAATCAACCATTCATGTAAAAGAAAAAAGATGTTTGCTTTGTACAAACACACATGGAGGCTCAACTCGAACCTCCATTCCTTCTGTGTTTTCTAACACCTAATTAAGAGGAAAAAAACAAATTAAAGCCACACATCCACACATGCATGCATGCTTTGCAATCTGATGACTCCAATTAAGCTTCACATATTTTTTTCACTGCATCTTTTTTTTTTTTGCTTTCCTTTTCTTTCTCTCTCTCTCTTTCTTGAAGGTTGCAATGAGGAGATGAGATGATTGCATGTCTTGGAGAACCCAAAAAGAACAAAAGAATTGCTCATGCACACATGATGATGATTTCTTCTTGTTGTTGTTCAGTTTTTAACCCCTTGTTGCTCCTAGGCCTCTTGCTTCAGACCCCTTCATGATCCTCAACCTCTTGCACGTACTAATGAACATCCTATTAAAAAGACAATCATAGAGTTAATTAGAAATAATTCAAGTAAATAATTGACTCATACTATAAGTCGTTCCAATTTTCTCTGATTCATATTATAAGCTGTTCTGATTTTATTTTAGGCAAATTTTAAGTTTAACCCAAATTTATAGAAAAACATAGTAGCATTTAAAAAGACAAACATATATACTATCAAAATATATTAATGTTAGATTTAATGATACTAATTTATGATACTAGAAGTTGTAAAAAAAATTTATTAAACTTAATTAAACTAAAAAAAATTGGAAGCAACTTACTCGAATGGGACGTCGCCGACGAGCATGAGGTCGCCGTCCTTGTCCTCGTAGGTGACGGCGAAGTCGGACGGGTTGACGGCGGCGTCGGCGGCGGCGCCGCCGGAGAAGCAGAGGAACATGGCCTCCAGTGCCTCGCGAAGCTCCCGGTAGCCCTTGTACACCTTGAGGTCTATCTTCCTCAGGTATGGAGCTCCGTCCATGCTCACCTTCACGAACAGCCCACCGGCGCCGGCGACATCCTCCTTCTGCTGCGTCTCCGCCGCCGCGGCAGCCGGCGGCGGCTTGCTCTTCGTCGTCGTCGTCGTCGGCTGGAGGCAGCTCTTCCTGTACGACCTCACCGGCGGCCATCCCACCACCTGCGCCCTGCAGCAGCAGCAGCAAACACGACACGTATCAGAGCTAGCTCTGCCATCCATGGCGGCGACGGCGACGAAGACGAAGAAGAACTTGATATTAATTACTTGGCGGCGGCGGCGGGCTTGATCTTGGCCTGATCAGGCTCGCCGGCGAGGGCGCGCTTGCTTCCGGCCCTGGGCGTCGACGGCGGCGGCGCCGCCTCCTCCTCCGTCCCCGGCAGCCCGAGCCTCAGCTCCGTCGCCTTCAGATTCTCCATGATCGATCTCTCCGGCGAACTCACCAACTAAACTCCGACGAGCTCCTCCTCCTCTTCTTCCTCTTCTTCTTCCAGCTAGGTAGCTCGAGACGATGAGCTGTGTGACCTCTGACTTTGTCTTCGTGGCTGCTAGCTGAGCAGCAATGGCGATGTTTTATAGACCTAGCTAACAAACCCTAGCTATGTGAAGAAGCACACACATGTGGATGTGAGCACACGAGTGCATGTACGTACATCCATACGTGCCACTGCCAGGCCACACGCTTGGGAGGGTGGTTGTGGGGGTAGCTAGGGTGCAGCCATGAGGGCCATGCCGGGTCAGCCCGCGACAGGGGCGGGCCGACCCCGTGGGCCCCCTGACGCCTCATGCAGATTCGTCGGGTAACGGGTTTCGGGTCCCCCACTACCCTATTGTTCATTGTAATACGGGGTCATCGGTTATTGATCCTCGTAACCCTTATCCGATAAGTGTTATTTATAATGTATGCATTGCTGGCACGAGTTTAAGAATCCAGCCTACTATGTACCTAGTTGCAGCATTGTTATTGGGTATGGATCGTTTTCTGTACCTGTGGATCCGGATAATTAGTTAGGGGGTCTGAAGGTTTTTTTTTTCTTGAGATAGTTAAACAAGGGTGCCAAAGCCATGATTAGGATGCTATCATTAGAGATCTTTGGGGGAGCATCTTTTGGCATATACAATGCTGTTTCCCCCTCTCCATATTGTCCAATAAGATATAGTGGCATGGAACAATGTAACATGGAGTGTATACATATGTTGCAGTATTCTATTGCATGCTTCTCATCATGTAGTGTATCCCCTTGTGAATCTCTCTCCACTACCTTTTGTTTCTTCTTTCTTTGGCCTTTCTTCTTTTGGTGTTGGCCATGGGGGCCTAGGGAAATTAAAACACCTAGTGGCTGCTTGTTTAGTGCAAACATTATTTCCCAATTTCTGAGTACTGTTAGTTGTTGTTAATTAACTAACCCTTTTTATTTGAAAGCTAGAAGCTGCAAACTAAAGTATGGTTTGTTTGCACCGGTGCTGTTTCTTTAACTAACCAAAGCTAAGCTAGCTGCGGCCTCTCATATTTTTCAGATGAGAGCAAGCAGCTGGTCCCTTGCTTAGGGGTAAATTAGTTAATTAAGCTTTAATTAATTAATTTGGCCTATTGGGTGTCATGAATGGTTGGTCCAGCTTGAAAGAAAACTGAAAAAATATTTGCTTGGCTTTACAAGTTTATTTCACTTGTCTAATTGACAATTTAGTAATTAACATATATCTGCACTAGCCAAAAACAGTTTAGGATCCATCAGAGTTCATGCAGAGAGTACTGGTTGATCTGTAGATCGATGTTCCTAATATTGACAAGACGATTGATCTGTCCCAACTTGTTACATTTTATATCCTTTTATTAACTATGAAAAGTTCTCACCATCAATCTATGCAAGATACTGTGATGTACAGTGTCTCATTCATGTGTGCAGTGAACCAGTCTCTTCCCTGTAACTACTACTAATTTAATTAAACTTTTGCCCCTCGATTTGCTGAAACCACACAGTGATATGCTTAGCAACAGCACTAGCTGGCTACTAGCATGGCATCAAAATTTGATTCCCTCTGCCAATTTTGCTACAACCTATGATCAATTGCACCGAAATTTCGAACATCATGTCCATTTGACCATCACAACTAATCAACAAGATGCCCTATGCTGCTGCAACCTCCTACATCACAAATTAGAATAATGATATGTTCAGTTCATCACCAAATTAAAGAATCTTTTTAACTAAAATTCGCGGCGAAAATTAAGCGTGGCTTCTTATTAGACCACATTTATATATAGATTTGAGCTTAATCAATTGGTTAGAACATGAACTGTTCTGTAAAAATATTTGCTCAAGTACTGATATCGTGTCGTTGCACTGAAGCTTCTTGGATTCCGGATGGGAGCTGCACAAAGCATGCAAAGATGCATAGAGCTAGCTTTTGTTTAGTTAAATTAGTAGCAGAAAGTACAATGGATTAAGGATTGTATATTGTTAATTGCAATGGTTTTGGTAGGAGGAATCTTTTGATCAGGTTTAAGGCCGGGGAATTAGGGGCGGTGCATGTTTGACTGTTTGTTTCTTGCTTGCATGCTTGACTTGGTACATATTTCACCGACTAGATGTTGCATGCTATGCCACTGATGGTGCAAACTCCTTAAACTTTGTGTCTCATGTACTGATGACTATATATAATACTCTGTATGTGTATTACACAAATTAAGTTGAGAGATTCCAGTACGATTAATATTACACAAAGTTAGCATTTGCATTACCTAGACTTTTATTTGATGAAAATTAAAAATCAATTTATGTAGGAAGAGATTCCTTGTGTTGCAATAACCTCCCACATCACAAGGATTAACAATTGCACTTATGCTTTTATTGTACCCGTGAGAAAATTAATTAGTTGGTCGTTTGTTCCTGTAACATACTCCCTCCATTCCAAATTGATATATATATTTCATAGACACACCAAGACTAAGAAAAACTAATAACTCTCTCATACTATATTTACTCTAGCAACAAACTCAATGCATACACCGTCCCAATATTTTCTAGCCAATAGCAAATCAAGATATTGCATGTGGGTTATAAATAATTGTGTGCATGGATGCATGCATCAACGTTCATTTACTCCAATGCATAAATAACGAATAGACTCAATAAATAAACACAAATATGATGTAGATCATTTAGGAATAACCTAAAAAACTATATGTAGATCAATTTAGAATGGAGGAAGTCCTAAGTACTATTCTTGGAGAAACTAAATCATTAGCAGTAGTATACTATACTGATCGATCATGAACTCTTTGCATGCATGCATGTTAGTGTGCATTAGTTTTCCACGAGTTATATAAATATATAGCATAAACGCATGTTACTTACAATAGCTAAGTTTCATGCATTGATGCACTGACTTAAACTAGATTATGTGCGCCATTAATCAATTGGATCAATGGATGTGTGCTCATCCTACAGTGCATGTAAATGGACAGTGACAGTGACTGACAAGTGAGATGTCGCATGCGTGCATGCATCCATGAATATCAATCTATGGCTGTAATTAACTACTATCAGCCGGCTGGCTAGCTGTAGTTAGCTTTTGCATGGATGGATGCATGCATCTGCCTTTTCATTAACTTTCCTAACTATGAATTTAGGCATTTAGGGTCTGATCACTTTGCTACAATTTTCAACCTTATCAAATTTTGGTATTACTAAATTTTAGTAAGGCTATCAAAATTTTGACAAGGTTATCAAATTTTAGCAAGATTTGAGATGTACTTACTAAAATTTGGCAACAAACTAAATGTAGCTATTTTTTAAGTAACTTTGCTAAAAAAAAGATAAGGTTGAAAATGGTAGCAAAATGAACAAGCCCTTAATTATCTAGATTCATAATTAGAATTTGCTTTTTGGTACAGGACACATTTAATTACACATTATACACTGTGTGTCAAGTAAGCTAAGTACATGCAATTAATTAATTAGTTAGTTCAACTAATGAGATGGGCATCGGGAGAGATGACAGATGCATGTAATTAAGCTTTTTGGTGTGTGTAGGTGTGTCCATGTCAATGGCGCACGTATGCATCCTGTTAATGGTGGCAGTGGATTCGGATGGGGACATGCGTGCGTGCACTAGCTAGCTCACTGTCACTCATGAACAGAAGCTTAATTAATTGTGTTTGACGCTAACAGTTACGTGCAGATGGACAGCCGGCAGGGCTTCATGGATGATAATTGACAGCAGGCCGGTAGTCCAGCTGGTATATGTTGTGGTTGCAGATTATTATTAAGTTATTAATGAACTTGCTGAATATACGGAGTACTGAAAAAAAAGTACTAACACAGTAACACTGAAATTTAATTCATCCTCTACCATAGATAATGATATCACGCTATCACAAAAACCCCTAACACTGCCAGTTCAAAAACCTTATCACTACCAATTTAAAAACCCTACCATTTCCGATTTTCGAACCGGTGGTACACTGCCGACATTAATTGTTGTGGGAGAGGTTTTTAATTAACTGACCGTGCTAGCCCAGCATATATCATTGCTGGTTCAAGATAATGCTATAGTTTGATTTGCATCACAATATTGAATCTCTGCTATCTACAATTTACCATTTAAATCACAGAGCAATCGTATATACACATTAAGGCCCTGTTTGATTCAGCTTAGGATTATTATAATCTAGCTTATTAGGAGTAAGCTGAAACAAACAAGTAGATTATTATAGTAGATTATTATAATCTATAAGCTAGATTATTATAATCTGATAAGCTGCTCTAGAGGAGCTTTTTTCAGATTATTGAGTGGCTAAAGACCCACTACCCCTACATACTTGAGAAAAATTACCCACCTATACCATCAGCCGAACAGATAGCTGAGGGCATTATAGACTTTAGCCATTCAAATCCAATAATCCATGTCTTCAATAATCCAGACAAACAAACAACTCATAGCTTATTCTATGCCAGCTTATAGTAATCTGGCTTAATAATCTAGATTATAATAATCATAAGTTGAAACAAACAGGGCCTAAGATTTCATTCATATATACACAACAGAATTGCAGGGAAGAAACTGAAAAATGTAGAAATGTCATCAAGCTAGCATTTTTTTTCCTTTTGAAATTGCAAATGGCAGGAGATTTGTCTGATATATTAGAAGAAATAAAATTTGCAATTAGTACAATCAGCAAGAGAAGGAATTACAAACGGCTAAAGAGCAAAGACTCTTCGGGGGATTACAGTGGTGCAGGGAAAACGTCTAAGGAAGGGAACTAAATCATCAAGCAGTTATACAAAATTTCAACAATACGCAAATCGACAACTTTGCATTTCCACTGCATCTTGCATTTTGATCAACAACAACTCAAACCAAAGAAAATTAACACATCCAGCTTCAAAGAACAGATCGACAGGTTCAAACAAATAAACCTTGTGTGCAAGGGTGGGGGCAGCTAGATCTGGCCAGGTCATAGCCACCACCGCACGGACCACTCCGAGCCACCACCACTACCACACGAAGCACTAAGAGTGTGTTTAGTTCACGCCAAAATTGAAAGTTTGGTTGAAATTGGAACGATGTGACGGAAAAGTTGGAAGTTTATGTGTATAGAAAAGTTTTGATGCGATGGAAAAGTTGAAAGTTTGAAGAAAAAGTTTAGAACTAAACTTGGCCTAAGAGTAACCGCAAATCCGAGCTCTCTAGGGCAGCCCAATCTAGAAGTGATGGGTTAGCAGGGGCAGCCTTTTATGTGGTTAGAAATTAAATGTGGAGGGAGAGAAAATTTTGCTCTAATATAATCCTTATGAGGCAGATGAATTTAAATTTTCAAAGATGGGGGAGAAATCCCTCCATGTTAAATTTCCATGCCATTATTGTTATTAGGGAAGCTAAGCCTTCCATTAACATATAATAATATCAATTTGTACATCTCAAATCTTTCTCTTTCTTTTCAAGGAACAATATTTTTCATATGAGCCGATCAATAATGATATCATTCTAGTACGTATTATACGTTATGTACATGTCGTAACACTCCATCCCGGCCGACAGGTCATATATCTGTCCATGGCATGGAACGTGCATATGCCGACCTGTCAAATATAACTCTCTTTCAACAATTTCGAGTCGAGAGAATTAATTCAAGTTGCCTGTTTTTTTTTTCTTATTTCTCGATCGTCTAAATTGGCACCATTACTTTTTTTTATCATGACCGACCGACGACAATGTATACATTGTTATGAAATCGGTCATATGACGATATATATTGGTGCACTAAGACATCCATGCAAGATCAAATGGCATGCGTGAACATCCGTATAGGCCGTACTTATGTAGATACATTATTGCACGTACAATAGCTATCACCTCGATTATATCGTGCCTATGTATCAACATATGCATGTGAGGATGCATGAAGAGAAAGGAACAAATGAACATGCAGATTAGCAATGAAAATTTTGATAAACCAATGTGTAATTATATCTCTACTACTTTAAAAGCGAAGTCGTCCACCTTTTCTCTTCTTGTATGGTAATTAACCACCGCAAAATTTTGGTCCATGTTTTCGGTGCTTTATCCTCAATCTATTCACCCGGCCAATCTCTAATTATACGAGTATGGTCCGTTGTAAAGTACGAACATGTTACTATTATGGAAGAAAAAGGTAGCTAGATGGATATACTCCTAGTAGATAGGAAGGTGATCATCATAGATGGACAAGATGGCGTGGGTGAGCATGGCCAACGACATGGACATGGACACGATCCAAGCAAGCTGGGGTAACGTGATCGTAGGGTCACTCTCTAACTGTAGCCCATTCATGTGAAAGAAGCCAAGCAAAAGAACTAGTTGAAGCTTTTTAATTGATTTTATCGACCCCTTCTTTTCTTTTTCTTTTTCCAAGCTGATGCATGGCCAAGCGGGCTCCAATTAAGATCGTGCATGTTTGGAACATATTTTTCACGGTTTATTGAGACGGGTTGGTTACTTAATTAACAAATGGTAAATTAATATTTTCTTTTAAAACCAAATTTGGCAAATAGCTTATAATAAGTAGTCTAAACGATGCAGTAGAGATTTGTTTTTAGAAAGCGTATTTTTAAAAGTGTGGAATAAATAATCCGTGACAAAAAAAAATATGGTAAAAAAGTTTTAAAAAAATAAGAATGGAAACTAAGTAGATCATGATTTTAGTTTAATTTATTTAATTTGTTATCAACTTGTCTTACACTACATTAAAATTAGCTTGGTGTGTACAATCGATTATTATTAATTAGCAGTACGTGTAATCGATTATTATTATTATACACACATCGACAGCATACATGCATATCGTTAATTTTGGGATCGTGTTGAGTAGTTGGTCGATCGACGACTAGTTTAGCTCTATCAATTAAGATGCATCGATCGATCATGTACACACATCAAATTAAAGCATCTAAATTAATTAACTCACACGTGGATTTAATTAAGCTACTCCCTCCGTTTCACAATGTAAGACTTTCTAGCATTGCCTACATTTATTTAGATGTTAATGAATCTAGACATATGCATGTGTTTAGATTTATTAACATCTATATATATATGTGGACAATACTATAAAGTCTTACGTTATGAAACGGAGGGAGTAGCATACATATAGACACGAAACCATAAAAATCTTTTGGTAACTGTAACTACTCATAAAAACTGCAGTATTTTGAGAGTTTCTTAACTGTAGCTACTCCTAAAAACTCTAGCTTTTCGTATATATTACAGATTTCATCTAGTTTCTATGAATAAAATGAATAGTAGCCAGAAACTAGATTTTCCAGCTTATCCAGATTCACGGTACGGATTTAGGCCTCATTAATTAGAAGCGAAGGATTTTCGCTTAAAATGTTTGAAATGATATGCTTCTACAAGGAAAGGGAAAATTATTAAATTGTAACTACACTGAAAAACAATTGTACAGGTACACATGATACAAAGTGTAAAAAACCAGAGGACCCACTTTGCATAGAGTAACCAGCTGGGTGTGCACGTAGCAATATTGGGGCGAGAACTAAGAGGCATTGAGAGACACCCCGGCAGGTTCACATGGTCGCCGTCCGTGGGGCCCTCCAAACTCGAATCTCCTCACATGCAATGACGGCATATATATATGCCACATGTACCCGCTTCGTGCACCCAGCACAGCACGTCGGCCCCACCACCAGTGAAACATATTTGGGTTTCTTGATTTTTTTTTCTCTTTTTTAAAAAGAAAAGTAAATTGCAATTTACAATGGGTAGAATAAGTATCTTTGGGCATGTTCACTTTGATGCCAAAAAAAACCTTACCAAATTTTGGCATAGTTACCAAAATTTTGGTAACTTGCCAAAATTTTGGCAGGATTTCTTATATAGTTACTAAAATTTGGCAGAAAACTAAATGTAACCACTTTTTTTTGTAACTTTACCAAAATTTGGTAAGGTTGAAAATGACATCAAAATGAACAGGTCCTTTGTTTCACTTTGCGCGAGAGTATAACTGAAGAGAAACTGTAAAATGCGAGTGGATTAACTTATTGAAAAACTTGTGTTGAATTTAAACCATGTTTCACCAAGTTTCGTTCGGATTTTGTGAAACTTTATTGTTTTTCTATAGCTATAGGTTAGATGATATTATATATCCTGGTTACCTACTACTGTTAAGTGAAATTTATTTCAATACTGGTCTAAAGTGAAAGTATGTAATATTTTTTTGGTCTAAAGCAAAGCAAGGTGTGGTTTTTTTTTCTGTTCCTTTTAGAGCCTTGAATTCAGTCGTAATATATCGCAAATTCGTAATGGACACTTAATGAAAACGTGCACCTATGCGGACTTATAGTTCGATAGGTAGCAAAGCATACCGCCTCTACGTACACAAGCTACCCTCCCACGATTAATTAATCAACTGCTTGGTGCAATCGAAGGAAAATAGTAGAGTAATTGAACAATTGTTTTTCATTTTTATTAATTAACTGTGACTCTACTGTCAAAAAACAAATGTTGATTGTTTATTGCTTTGTGAGTTTACCCGTTCGTGGTTTTTAATGTCAATTATGCCAAACTTCTAAAAAAATGTCAATTATGCCTTATTGAGTTTAACTAAATTCCTAAAATTGAACTAATGTTGGATCTAGAAAAAAATTGAGAGGGTGAATTGACTGTAGCTCAGTAAGTTAGAGGCTCATTGTTCGCCCTATAGCTTATAAGCCAATGTCAAATTTTGAATTTTAAAAGTTGATTTTGATGTTTTTTAACTTAGTTTCTTTTCCAACCTTTTCTTTTAAGTCTCTAAGGACGCATATACAAAAGTTTAATTTACAAATCATTTTTATCACTAAATAAGCCACTACGGCTTACAATCAGCCGTAAGCAACCGATCGATGGGGACTTTAGGTTTCTTGTGGTAGAACCTGCCAACCCAAGTTTGATAAGGTCCTAGATTTGGCATGGGTGCTTGTATTTTATTCTTTCAGTGATAGATGACGTATTATTAGACAGTGATGCGCTTGTGGTGGCTTCATCAATCCTGACTTGAGAGAAGTAAAATGATTCATACGGTATCCAATTAGAATCGAGAAAAGTATATATTACATGCATTACAATCTCTCTACCTCTCTATCTTATAAGTGGTGCACCCAAGCAATAATGCAAAGTATAATCAAAAGAAAACATGGTAACATAAACTACACACATACAATAAATTAATCAAACCTAGTGATAATTGCAAAATTAGGAATTATGCAAGGGGTGTAGACACAAAAGAGGCAGGGGCCATGCATTATCATCATCATCGATCATGGCCCTATTATTCTACACACACATACCCCATACTGCTGCTTCTCTCTGTTTGTTGGTTGTTGCCCATATTATCATTTCTTGGCCCCCCCAACATCACCTCTCCCTTCTCCTCTTTATCTATTTCCATTTGCATTTCCATTTCACTCCTTTACATCACATTTCTAGCCACCCTCTCATCATCACCATCAAGCTCAAACCAACAAGAAGAGAGCTAGCTTTTGGTACTATTAGCCACTAGTAGATAGCCAAGAAGAAACCAAGAAATTCTTTGAGCTATCTAATTAGCTAGGTCCATTGATTCATCATCATCTCCATTGATCCACTTAGCTTTGAAGAAGAAGAAGAAGAAGACATTTAGTTAGCTAGCTATATTGAGGTGAGGTGGCGGCGGCAATGGCGGCGGACCTGGCCTTCGAGGCGACCGAGCTCCGGCTCGGCCTGCCCGGCGGCGGCGGTGATGGAGACGCCGCGGCGGCGGCGGCGAGGAGCTCCTCCGGGAAGAGGGGCTTCGCCGAGACCATCGACCTCAAGCTGAAGCTGGAGCCGGCGGCCGCGGCGGTGGACGACGACGACGACAAGGAGGAGGCGGCGGCTGACGACCGGGAGAAGAAGGTCGACATCGTCGGAGCTGACAACGACGACGCCTCGCCGCCGGCCGCCGCCGCCGCCGGCGGGATGAAGCGGTCGCCGAGCCAGAGCAGCGTCGTCACCGCCGCCGCCGACCCCGAGAAGCCAAGGGCTCCCAAGTACGTGCACAGCTACCTTAGCTTAGCTAATGCCCTTCTTAATTTTGCATGCATGCAAATCATGCAATAATCTCTCCAAATAAAATCAAGTTCAAACATCAAACATACATGTAATCATCCTCTCCAAATAACAAAACTTAGCAAATTTTAAACCCTAGCATAACCCACCTCTAACCTTACATAACAAAAGAACAAGTAAATCCTTTTCATGCCAAGATTCGCAGATATTCATCCTGCAGTTGATTTGCTTTTGGGATAAAGAAAGCTTTATTGATCTTAGATAATTACAACAGCCGAGGCAACTGATTAATTAGCTACATAGTTAAGTTAATCAGTTAATTCCTCGATTTATGTATGTGTATCACAATGATGAACACCAAGGATATCGATCGATCGATCGATGTGAACCAAAGCGCAAAAAAATTAGTTAATTGTTTTTTTTTTGTAAACTGTAATACTAGTATATGAATATAAACCAAATTGATTGCTACTAGGAGAGAAGAGAAAAGAATTAATTGGTGTGGTATGTATGGCTGGATCTAAGGGACAGATATATTCATTGGTAGTAGATGCACAGAGAGAAAGAGCAAAGCAAAATGTACAAGGTACTAGAGAAGAAGGCAGAGAGACATGGGCATGTTACTTGTGGGTCACAGGGGAGACACTGCCTAGTGCCGACACGATAAAAGAAATAAAGCCACACATACTACTAATTCTCTCTCTCTCTTTCTTGCACAGTTCATCTTTTGTCCACATCACCATCATTTCCATATCACTAGCCCAACCTATAGTTCTTGAGATGTTACCACACATGCATGCATGATAAAGACGAAATAAATTAATATTTGGATACACTACGGCCATTCCCAACCCAATGACTAGGATGGTGTCCATAGCATTAAATAAGCTGCCACCTAAAATAAAAAATGATATGGCAAGTGAATAAATGAAGAAAGATAAAAAAACCATGAGACATGGTTTCTACACAATATTAAAGACATCATGTGAGATAAGTAGCATTAAATTTAAGTACGGAATAGTGGTGCTTGCATTGGAAGAGTAGTGTCTAGTATTAGTTTCTTGATGATGTGGAGCTTATAGAAACTATGTGGAACTAATATCTTAGGTTGGGAATGGCCTACTACATATGTTGGCCATGCTTGTTGCCTTTTAGTTCTTGAGAGTAAATGTATTTATACATGCATGGCCTACCATTTTGGATCTGTCTATATACTCTACATGCACGGATGCACCCTTGTCGAGAGTCTTCTGTTCATATTTGGTTTTATTTTTATTTACAGAAGGAAAATAATTAAAGGTAGGTTTGGGTAGCCATTGATGTTGCAGGAGTGTGTGTGTGTGTGTGTATATGGGGGGTTTTTTTTATTAGTTGAAGATGAATTGGAAATGTGATGTGAAATGTGGTAAATGTTGGGTGTTGTGTTTAATTATGTGGATGAAGAATAGGTTGTGTGTTAGCTTGGAAGGTACATGCATGTGTGCCACCACAAAAGGTTCCTCCTTTTTCCATGATTTGATGCCCCTCCCAATAGTCTCATGGACCAGTTCACCTATATAATACAAGTTTATATACAAGTAAAAGGAGAATCTCATATAAAACAGAAAAGGGAAATGTAATTTATTCTGCATATGGTGAAAACTGAAAACAAGTAACCATGTTCACTAGACAAGGCCTGAAAGTACCATATTGACGGGAGAAAAAGAAAGAGCCATATATACTCCATTATATTGGTCTATTTGTGGATTAATTGGATTACACCATGTACATTGATTAGATATATATACCACCTCCAGTTTGAAGCACCATTGACTTTTCTACAAAGTTTTCCTTTAAAAAAAACTCTTTCTCCAAAGTTTGACCATGCAACAATATTTACTTAATTACTTAGTTAAATGAAGTGAAAAGACTCAAAGAGTACTACTATATCTGTTACCAAAAGTACTTTAAGCATACTTAATTTGTATCTCTATCGATTTACATAAATATTTTTAGAAAAGATCAATAATCAAACGAATTAAAAAAATCAATGGTGTCATGCATATATTTTAAACCAGAGATATTATATTACAGAGCTACTACCACCATTTACGAGAAAGCTAGTATTAAACCTTAAGAAATAAATAAAAAACACAAACAATTCTTCAGTAAGATATTTGGTAATAATATTATAGAGCTACTTCTAGTAACTAGCTACTCTTAATTATTAATCGGTGAAAAAAATTGGTTAAATCTTCTTCACAGGGCACAGGTGGTTGGGTGGCCGCCGGTCCGGTCATACCGGAAGAACATCCTGGCCGTGCAGGCCGACAAGGGCAAGGACGCCGCCGACGGCGGCGGCGACAAGTCCGGCGCCGGCGCCGCCGCCGCCGCCTTCGTGAAGGTGAGCATGGACGGCGCGCCATACCTGCGCAAGGTGGACCTCAAGATGTACAAGAGCTACCTTGAGCTCTCCAAGGCACTCGAGAAGATGTTCAGCTCCTTCACCATTGGTAATTATATTAATTACACATAATATATGTTTTTATATATACCATCGTATTTTCATTCATTCCACATATTCGCATTTTAAATGTCTATTCCTTTAAAAATCTCACGCTCAACATATCTATCCTAAAATATAACAATTTTTGATAGCTATACACATATCTGGATAACAACTTGTTCAGATACAAAGCTATAAGTTATTATATTTTGGTATAGATGTAGTATTTATCATATAATTTTACAAAAGCTATAATTGAATTATATTGTTTTGTGCAAAGTTAGTGAGAACTTCCAAGACCTAAATATATAGGACTTTGATTAGGGTATTGTTGCCTAGCTTTAATCTTTGTGCAAAGTGAGGTTATAAAGTTAGTAGCAGCTAGCTTAGGTGGTGCATGATGAAGGGTTGGGGTATATGATTGCATTTGGGGGGGCATTTGCATGTGTGGTGGTGGTCACCATGTGGTTTTTGCCAAGGAGTGCACTCCATGATTTGATTAATTTGCATCCTTTGGTAGTAGTAGGTGTGTCTGCCTGCCCTAGTTGTCTGGCATAATGCCATTGTCTCTCATCTCTCTTTGCTAGCTAACACATGTACATGGATATCATCATCATATATATGTTTGCTATCTATAGATGTTAATTTGCTAGCTAAGCTCATGATCAAGGTTGCATATATCTGCTTAATTAGCTACTAGCAGCTGGAGTTTGGTCCATTGATCATTGGCATGTGCTGCTCTAAATCCAAGTGCATAATAATCAAATCCACGTGTTGATGCATGCATCTTTAAAAAAGATATGGGAAACATATGGTATTGTTCAGAGAGCCAAAAGATGATTAAATTGGTCGGCTTTTTAGGTGTGCAAGTGTGTGTGAGGTTCGTTTACTGATTGAGCCTTGACACTTGCTTTTAATTAGTAGATAGCTAATTACCTCAATCATTGTCATATAGAAGTGCAATATAATTCTCCATTCCAAACTGAACTCTGAACAAACCTAGCAATGCAAAAAAAAAATACTCTGGAAACTGTTAAATTGCAAAGAAAAATAGACATCATTTTAATTAGGTTGTACTGTATAATCAAATTAATCGGCATGGAGTTGTAGATGCTTAATGTTTTTGGTATGAAGCTTAATGTCTGAATTAATTTTCATCAGGAAACTGTGGGTCTCATGGGGTGAACGGCATGAACGAGAGCAAGATTGCTGATCTGCTCAACGGCTCTGAATATGTGCCAACCTACGAGGACAAGGACGGCGACTGGATGCTCGTCGGCGACGTCCCATGGGAGTCAGTAATCTCTACTTAAATTTTCTATTATCTAATATCTAAGTGTTTAATTTTAATAACCTGAATTAAGGTACTAGTCTGAATCTCTGATATGAGTCCATGCTCTGCATCTGTGTTCTGAATTCTGACCATTTTGTTTGGAAATGGAAATTTCAGGATGTTTGTTGAATCATGCAAGCGCCTTAGGATAATGAAAGGATCAGAAGCTATTGGCCTTGGTCAGTGCATATCAAGTTTTATTTCTACATACAAATTAGCTCCTTTGGGTTTGATTTTAAGTTGGGGTTTAATTTAAGTTGGATATCAGTTACTGACAGAACAGTGAAATATAATATATTTTTTGTTTTGAATTGTTTCAGCACCGAGGGCAATGGAGAAATGCAAGAACAGAAGCTGAGAAAGAAGAACATGTCGCCATCAAAAACGGATGGATCATCATCAGATGCAACAATCTATCTATAGCTTTTCTTAATTGCAGCTTTGCCTCATCCCTGTATCATACTCGCTTGCTGTCCTCATCTCCAAGTCTGTACCTTTCCTGATCAGTGAAAGTCATTTTGGTGTTGTGGTCAGTTTCTGTTCTGTTGCAGTCATTAAGTTCCTAAGTGTGTCATCTTGTCTTATACATAAGAAAGAAGCCAAGAACATGTACCAGTAGTACCTGTCCCATAATTATGTCTTTTTTGCTCTCCCTGTTCTTCCCTTTCTCTCTGTTTTTTTTTTACCTTAATGGCACAAAATGTAAAGGCACCCTGCTCAAAGGGACCTCAATGTATTTTGTCCATGAAAAGGTTGTTTAATTATCTTCATGGTGTATCCATCAAACAAATAATTATTACTGCAAGGTGTTATGTGTTAATTAATTGTATTGTATGAGGATGGTGTCTGCTCTGCTCCCTGCCTTCTCTTAATCAATTGATTAATGCCGCATTACATTGAAGTATTGAATCAGTATTAGGAAAGGAGGATTCAATTCAATGATGAAGATGCTTTGTTTGGTGATGTGTGGGCATACATTGCCAAGTCTACCTGGCTGAGTATGTTTTTTATAATGTGGGGCCAACTGGTTTAGAGAAAAGTTTCAAAAAAAAAAAAGAACTGGTTTAGAGAGAAGCATGCCATGTGCATAGTAATGGAAGCTTATGTTTTTTGTATACACATTATCATCAGGGGAGGCATCACAGCTTGCTGCATCTTCTGCTGTCTAGTACTATATATATTTTATGGCAAATGTTTGGTACATTGTGCCCTAATGCTTTGATAAAGGGTGCAGGTTGGCCAAAGTTCAGTTTTTTTTTTCTTCTTTTTTTTGGGCCCTGTTTTCTAGGAAAAAATGCTTGAAATGCTGGAAGGTGTATGTGTGTTTGTTGCCATGATTTTTGGGGGCTTTCAGATGCACCTTCCTTGTAATGAGTATCATCTCTCTTCTTCTTGCCCAACTAAAGGTGGTGGTGCCTTTTGTCATGTTAAATTAAACTAAGCAGAAACATATTTTCCCTTTGGAGATCATGTCCCCTTATTACAATCATGGCATGCAGCTTTGAGTCTTTTCAAGGTGCAAGTTTGTCCACCTTTGAAGACAATCTTGTGCTGCTTTTACCAAGAAATGTGTTGTGGTAATACATGTCACTAGGGTCATTTGTTTCATCCCAACGATGCAGCATCTTTTGATTAACTTATCTACGGTACATTGTCTTGTCTGATTTTACCCTGATTACTTGGTAGCATGAATTATTTTTTCTCAGATTGAGAAAATTTTAGACAGTTTCCCAGTTTGTGAAGATGATTTTTTTTATATCCATATTTACTCTCAATTGCACTCCATCCATAAAAAAAACAACTTTTATACACAAATATGAACATAGGTTATGTTAAAATTCATGTATAAAAGTTGATTTATTTATTTATTTATTTTTTGGGGGGGGTGTTCTAAGCATAGAACTGTACAAAGAGAGCTGTGAAGAAGTAATATAGTTGATGTTGGAAACATATTCTTCAAGAGTAGGAAAATTGCAGAGAATGTTGTTGAATAAGTTATTCATCATCGACTGTACAACCAAACTGGTTGGGGATAAGTTTATTTGATCTACAAAAATCACCATGGAGAGATGCATTGAGCTTATTATATGTACAAAGATCTCCATGGAAACAACCATTGGTAGTGTCTTTCTCTGAACATTATTAGAGCAGATATCTAATCAGCAATTGAAGACATGGACTCTTATCTTGACAAATCCACCGATCTGATTACAAGATCTGCAGACTTTTTTGACTTCATGATAAGCTCTGCGTTTGGCCGGTCATTATACGAGATCTGATTCACAAGATCAATTCAAGACTATAAGAACATGCAGTATCCAGAAACAGGGGTGAAGAACATGACGGCATATTAGTAGTATCTTGATCTGAACATGGTTAGCTGTAAAAATCCACAGGGCATAGCTAATTTCATGCAAATTTTTCTATGAACAGCTTCTATGATAAAATGATCCTAAAGAAGGCAGGGGGAGCCATTTTGGTTAATTGCTTATATGCAACTCTAAAACAGATTAATTGTAGTGTAAGACATATTTATTGAAAGGAAACTGTAGTGCAGTTTATGTTCACTTGTGTAACAGAGAGGAAGAACCAAAAGGAGAGAATTACCCGCCATGCTGCTACATCTGGCTCTTTTCCTGGCAAGAGGAGCAAGAACATCAAATAAGATGGATAAATACTGAAATAGTAATTTATCCCAAAGAAAAGGAAGCATTAATTAAGGGAAAACCTGTGGCGACATGTCTCTGGAGCACTCTTTGCATGGAGACATCAATGTCAATATCGATAAACCTATCACGGTAAATTTTGACCATTAGAAACACTGTTATCAGTTTTCACTGTTTCAAGAATCAATAAGAAATTAAAATTTACTGCTCCAAACAGGAGCATGTTATGTTGAGTTAAGTAACAAGCTCCAAAATTTGGAACTCACTGGCTCATGGCACGATCAATTATATCGCTGCAAATTATTTATGATTGTAAAGCCAGCATACTCACCATTTTTCATCAAACAAGGCTCTAATGTCCCTCCAGGCATCTTCTTCCAGTAATAGATAATTGCCTTCGACAATCACTATTTTGTGTCTGCCAAAATCATAGTAATTAGTAACCAGCATGTGCTGAACATACTTAGGGTAAATTACCTGGCTTGTTTAAAATAAACCATTTTTGGTGCGAGAGCCATAATCTGTTAGAAAGATAAAGCATAAAACAAAACTTCTCATAAAGGTATCTGCTTGCGGCTATTCACATACCGCATACAGGCATACAAAGTTCCAAACACAGGTATTCATTAAAAAAAGATTAATTAGAACTTGGCAGTGCCTGATAGAATATGATCATTCCACACAGCATAATAACAGCATAAGGTTCCAGTGTTAGGTAATGCTAAAAGTGAGTTGGTCTAAAAGGTTCTATAAAGGCCAGTGTGTTCAGCATCTGAACTAACTATATGAATAACTCAGGCATGCTTCACATTTGATTTAAATCGAAATAAGAAACTAGAGTTCAAGCATTCTGCAATCTACAAAGAGAATATATTCTGGATCTGCAATGATAACTCACTGCGGCTTTACAAATATGTCATTTTCAACTGGATCACCAACACCATGATCAAATGATGGAGCATAAACTGAACCCTGCAGACAAAGATGTTTCAGCGATCAGTCAAAACACAATGTTATGTGTAATAGAATACTTGACAGTGAAACTGGTAACACCTCTTCTCTCAGGGTCTGTAGGCATTTCAAAAACCGGGATGGATCGAATGTCCATGGTGCTAAATTTATTGAATTAACTGTTAGTACTCATGTAAAAAGTATTTTATCGAAATCAATTAAGTGGAGAAAATGTCCTACCTCCTCTTCTTGCATGTGCTTCTTTTGGATCCTACAATGACAACAATATCAATGATTAGAGAAAACAATATAACATTCAGGTATGGGTTGCATAGAAGAGAACAGACCTCCATTGCATCTAGTTGGGACCGATAAAGGTGGAAACCATCCATGGGAAGCATCGTGGCAATTTCTTCGGTTGAAATAAGTGAACTACCATTCTCGTGCTTCTGGGACCAGCGTTTATTAACACGTTGAACAACTTCGGAAGCAACTGTAGACTTTCCCGCGCCAGGTGGTCCAGCTATACCAACAATGTATCTGTTGAGAGCAGTACTCATAAGTGACTTAAGTGGGAAAGTGGTTCTTAGAAATGAAGCTAACACAATCAATAGTGCTCCAAAAGAAAAATCAAAATACTGGTTTTATTCAGATTCAAATTGTCAATACAGGAATCGAGGTAAGTTCTGGAATGTGAAGTGTTATATTGTCATGCCTAAGTGATGACACTATTACAGAGTATTTTACAGAACAAAGATAAAGTAGTGTTGTTCTAGTCTAGATCAAGCAGGTTGAAAGTCACAAGAAAGCATAAGCTTATTTCTGTTTCACAAAACAGATCACTGCGCGTGTTTGATTTCATGATATTCAAATATTGAAGAAACATTATGCGCTACTACAGTATGACCAAGTCAATAAAGCAATAACACCACCCAGAACGGAATCAGCTTACTTTGAGTCAAGATGTTCAATGTTCTTCAAAACAGAAAAAAGGTGCTCAGCCAAAGCATCATATACCTCCTCCATTGACCTACAGGTTTTTTTAAAAAAAAAAACAGAGTTAAACTGTAAATAGAAAGCTCAATTGTACCACTCAACGCATGTCCTAAAAAAATTATACAGCTCAACTAGTACAGTGATCAACTTTGAAAAAACTACACCATAGTCAAAACTACTGTAGATATAGTTCAGTTTATACATTATATGAATGCAGCAAAAACAGAGCCAATTACAGTAGATTCTTTATATTGTAAACCTCCTGTTAGTACTCCTTTTAATCCAATATTCAGGTATATGAGCCTCTCCCCTCAGGTGACCACTACAAAAACTTGTGGTTGCTTTGCAGATTTATGAAGTAATAAGTTTACATTGACTGGTGCAGAAGTAGCAAAACAGTAATATCTTTTTCCCTGACTGGTGGCACCACCACATCAGGAGATTTTATTATGCCTTATATTTATTTATGCCCTCTTAAAAACATGAGTTTTGCTCTTGATCTAGGAACGTACATGGCAAGCAAGAATAATACATGGATATAATTTGGCACAAAAATTGAGAAGTGAAAAGGGGGAAAGGGCTATTGCTTTCACTAATAAGACACTACAGTCCCAAATCTACTACAAGAACTGTGTAAAAACAAATCGATGCTAAACTAACCGTATCGATTGGTTCATTAATAAGTTATAGAAGAAGAGGTAAATTTACTTGGCTTCGATCTGCGGAGCTGGAGATGAAGCTCCTTCTTGCCTCTGGTAGCAAGGAACCTGGATGAAACGAAGGATAGGGTTCAATCAATCACAACTACACACACTATCACAATTCACAAAAACCTGCACAAGAAAGAACAACTCCACTGACGGTGTGTCTCTTGTTCAGTATGGCAGCCCGAATGGTTCGTCGAGGCAATTCGATCCGGAAGCTGGTAGGGCAAAGCGCCATCATCATCTTCACCGCCGCCGGTTTGCTCCTCCTCGTGGTGGTAGGGCAGTAACAGTAACTACTCCACCCTGATGGATGAAGAGCGCCGGTAAAATCAATTATTACTCTAGGGTTTGAGCTGCTTCCGCCTCGCCGGAATCGAGTTCCTGAGAACCCAACGGGAAGGCGAAAGCGATGGAGAAGCGAAGGGAGGAGAGAGACGCCATACCTCCGAGCTTGACCGTTACCGCCGCCGCCGCCATCGCCGTCGTCGTCGCCGCCGCCGTCGCCGTCGTTGGGCTGCCAATTCGGGCCCTTGGGCTTTTGGGATTTTTTTTATTTGCTAAACGGGTGGGGATTCAAATTCGGATGTGAAATCCTCAAAATGAATTCTATTTGAGAAGAGAGAAACATATTACAAACGCTCACAACACGCGCACACTTGTTCTCTAAGAACACACATACGCACTCCCTACCTCTATAAGCACATCCGAAAGATTACACCAGCATATGTTGAGATTTACAAAATCATCGGTCACCATGGGCGTCTCGTTGTCGAAGACGACGTTGTCTACCACTGAAAGAATAATTAGTTGTAAATGCGAGCACTCTTGTTAAATCTAAGCCTTGAATCTAGATGGGTTGGTTCCACTATAAAAAAAAACCTAACCAGTTGAGCTGATCTATTTGTTTTGGGTGGAATTTCAACGTTTGGTTGCCCTAGTTATACATGACATTAGTCATGGTGTCTAGTTTTACAAATTATTATCAAAGATGAACCGTTTGTCAAATCCCTAGAACGTTCTGTAAAATTTAAAATAATTTTAAGCCGAACAATCGAAAATCACCTTTAGGAGAAGGTTGGTTTGTCGGTTCAACATGCAAGGAGGCCTTCAGAAGAAGGTATGTAAAGATGTAAAGCCAAAAATAACTTTTGGTTACGGAGGAAATTTTTTTCCTAGACAAATGCTGTTTGGGTAAAGAGCAATGGTTACACATGTTATCCCAAAATATGTTCTTACATATAAATTAAAATAAAATACTCTAAATCAATGATACATACTATATATGTAGATATTATTCAATGATATGGATACTTCTGTTGAGTCGGTTTTGGAGTTGGATGAGACTGGCTAGTCTATTGGGCGAGGCCAGCCGGAATGTTGGTGCTAAGCCGGTCCATTATAGTGTTCCGGTTGGTCATCCCAGGTGTCTAGAAGGCTTCTAGTTGAGTTGGTGGCCATTCGGCCTAGTAAGGGAGGGCTCGGCCGATTCCCTATTCTAGGTCGCTGGCCACCCTCAGCTCGAAAAGACGGGTTTGTTTTTCTGGATGTTGTATCTCTTTCGTTCGGACTCTAAATCAGGTGAACCATATATCCGTTTTGATTGTCTCGACGAGGGCTTTAATATGGTGGAATCAAATATATGATTTTGCCTCATCTTATGGGTAGTTATGATGCTCCTTTGTAACTCACTCGGAAACATCCCAATATGTCAAAGAAATGTCCTTATCTGTGACCTACGTGCAAAACAAGCTAAACCTAGCAAACTCGTGGAAATTCATTAGTATAAAATAAAGCGATACAACAAACTACGAATTTACCCATTTATTCAACTATCACCATCAGTGCCATGGCCCATGGTAAATAGTCGTATTCATTGTCCGATCACTACATATCTTTTCCCTGACATTGGATACAGGTACTACTGCTCACTGTCATGTGGGTCCCACAAACCATCAGGCCCACGTGTCAGCGAGCGGTGCTGCAGATGCCCTGATATCAGTACATCACCCACACCTATGAACTAGCGAGTAGGAGGTGTTGGTATCTGAACAGAAACAAATAGTTTGTGTGTGAGATAGATGATGCACCTTAAAATATTGTAAATTTTTAAAATAAATATTTAAAAAATATAAAATTGGTCATTTCTCCACTATTATAAAAGTTGAAGATGTTTCGGTGGTCCGTCATCCATATTTGAGTCGGTTATAAAAATTGAAGATGTTTCCACGGATCGTCATTCGTGTTTGAGTCGGTTTTAATTTTATGTTTTGGTTTTAATCTATATCTCTTCTCTACTATTATAAAAATTGAAGATATTTTTGTTGGTATTTTGGTACGTCGTCCGTGTATAAGTCAGTTTTAAGTTCATTTGCTTTTGGAAATACATATCCGTATTTGAGTCGGTTTTTAATATCGTTCACTTTTGGTAATACAAAAGGAATTATATAAGAAATCTGTTTAAAAAAAACTCGCATGCTAACTTGATTTTATAAAAATATATATATCCAAGTGAACTCACACAATAAATTTCATGTTAACTAAACCATATAACAACAATAAGATTAAAATAGACTTCACCCGTTATAATGCATGAGCATTTTTTCTAGTATATAATAAATATTATAAACCGGTCATAATGTACAAGTGATGCATAATGGATGAACATACTGAGTATACTTGTTAAAAAAGAGTTTGGCAATTGTTTTCATTCACAACAAAGCCAAATATTACCCTCCAACAAGCTTGGCAATTGGATAATCTGTGTCTTCTATCTTTCAGGTGCCGGCTTGCCACTCTCAGCTCAAGCTTATGATCAGTTCAAACAGTTACAAACCCTCTTTGAAGAAATTGACATGGAGATGGAGAAGATAAATGGACATACATGTGAAACTCAGAGCAATACACCTTAGTCAAAGCATACAAGATTTTTACAGGAGTGATCAATGTCCCAAATTCTTTTAACTAGCTCTGGAAGAGTAGTGTGAAAGCAAAGCATAAGATCTTTTTTCTGGTTAATCCTAAAAGACAGAATCAATGCAAGGAACATGTTAAGAAGAAAGTTTGAGCGGCCAGATTATAACTGTGTTATGCAATCTACAGCAAGAAGAAACCTTGCAACATCTGTTTTTAACATGCTCCTTCACTCAAAATTGTTGTTTGCCCTACAATAAAAGCAGATCTCTCAGTTCAAGAAGCCATAGAAGATATCCAAAGAAATGCAAGTGCAGTTCTATATGGAAATCATCATTTTAATGACTTGGAGTATTTGGATTACCAGAAACAATAAGGTTTTCAAAGATATCAACCCCACAATTGGTTTTTGCAAAGATAAATTCAAGATGGAGTTTGCCTTGGTTATCCATAGAAGAGAAGATAGTTTAAAACCTTTTATGTCACAATGGCTAGACAATTTCTGATTATTTTTTGTTCTGTATATTGTATATTTTATACTTATATTAATATATATGCTGTAGGAGACTCTCCTACAGTAATTTCATTAAAAAAAGAGTATGTGATGGGTAACTGGTTACAGAGAACATGAATCTTATACCATGTTAAAATAGATGAATTGGAAGTTTTGAATGAAATGTTTTAAACATTCATAAAAATATATAGTTAGATTAAAATTCTACTGTTACTACACTATTACCACTAGTAGAATGCACCATAAAAATGCACAAATATTAGACATAATCAGCCTTCCATTAAAAAAAGAAAAATAATTGTTTCAGCATCATGAATAGAACACATAACGCATTATGAGATACAGTTATCGTCTAAAATGAATATTGTCAGAGTACAAAGCTGGTTTCTTATTGTTCTTCAGAAGTACACAAGGGAAAGGCTTTCCAAGTACAGGGAATTGAATGATACAGAGTACAGAATAACAAGCTACACAAATTCACACATGACACATTTGACAAATTGGTTTGATCCAATTCCAGTTGCAGTGCACTTAAATTGGAGGGTAGAAAAAGCTCCATTCTGACGATGAGACGGCCTCACCTCAACTAGCTTCATCTGAAGAAATGTCAAGTTGTCAAGTAGCCTTACAAGCTGACTAAACTTCAGCTATCTTGTTCCTCAATCCTGGTGGCTGCAATGGTTAGGCTACTCCATCGTTTAGCTCAGGTGAACGGTGCACTGGCTCCGCTTCGACCCGCTGCCCCATTTCTCCTCCTCGAATTGCTGAAAGAATCATGCAACCGATCAGACAGCTGATGCAGCAGACAGGTGGATGAACTCCCAAAGAAACTCTGCCTAGATGGGGGCAATGGTGATCTGCTTCCAAGAAATGAAGGTTTTCTGTTTTACCTGTTCGAGCATGAAGTGTGGGACTTGTACACGTTTTGAACCATCCGCTAGCCGCTTGCAAGGAACCCGAGGCTCTGCTGAAGCAAACTCATTCAGAACCTGGCAAAAAGAAGACGTTTTGTCACGCTTTTCGCAAATAGATGTGGCAATTAGAGGTAACCATGTTGTTGAAGTATGGTATTTGATTATGTCCAGCCTTAAAAATTCTACTTCCCTCACATGTTCAGTTTATTATTTAGTCATCATCAATTGTAAAAAGGCTAGCACACATTTGCTTCTGTGGTGTTTGATCTAAATTACTAGGACTCTGGAAACAAGTTCATCCAGTGATCATGTACTTGAGTCAGATCCATTACAACGCAAAGTGTCAATGCTTAACAAACAGGATCAGCGAAGTCCTACCTGGTTTCTGATTGCTCCAATCAGCATGTCACGGCACCCAGAGGCATGTACATCCTTCAAGCTTGGGCACTGAAGAAGCAACCGTTCTGTATAAACGTTCTCAAGCTGTTAACACTTGCATTTTAGCGGTTAACACTGTAGGAAAGTGGCACCTGCATTTTCAGGAAGAGACATCGCACCTGGATGAAGATTTGTGCAACAGTTGAGATTGAGATCACTCAGCTCTGGACAATTTACATACAGGGCCTGAAAAAGAGAGAAGCGGTAATGAGAACTCAGCTTTAATATGTTGTGTTTATTAGCAACCAGATGTATGAAAGGATTGATGATGGAAATATTCAAAAGACTTACATCCAGAGCTGAACAGCCCCAAAGGCTGAGTTTCTTCAGGTTAGCATGTTTTATTATCAGCTTTTGGTAATTAGGCTGCTGCTTTCTCTGGATAGGTAATTTTGAACAAAACTTAATCCCTCCATAAATTTCACCAAAATATGATCTCTCTGCTTCAGGCTGCGAATTAGCACATAAGCTCTTGCCACAGTCCATGAGCTGAAGAAGTGGCAACTGTGAAGTAGCCACCTGCACCCCACCTGTAAATCAGATGAAAAGGTGTTACTTATTGTCTTCTTTATTCTTTTTAAATCAATAGAAGAAAAAAAATTAAGGCTTACATGAGGTGATATTTGGGCAAAGGGCAAGGAGAAGCCTGGTTAGAGTATGAGGGAATGCCTTGCAGATCATCCCAAGCCCATTATCAGTAATGCTAGATCTGAAGTTCAAGCAAAGTAAATTCAGACATTGTTTTGCAGGAACTTTGTGACAAAATATCAGCCATCTGATTCAAAGAATTTAGACCCTACAAAACAATGCTTACCCGCTTAAATCAAGCAAATCCAAGCTTGCGTAAGAGCGAACAATAGATGCAACAGCTGCATCTGTTATTTTTGAACCAAGAATCAAGGATAGCATGCATAGGCCCCTGATAAAACAAGAAAAAAGATGGGTTGAGGATTTAACTCAAGAAATTATAATTATAACAAGACTCCCCCTAACATGATTCATGACAAATGAGCAGCATATATTAAGTACCTGAGATTAGCACTCTCTAGAGAAAACACAGCTTCATTGCATAAATGAATTGAGGATATGTGCAGGTTTCTCAAATTTGAGCAGGTACGACCCAGACTATCCATCAGACTAATCAGATCCGTAGAATCATTATTTTGTTGGGTAAATCCCAGTGAGAGTTCATTCAAATTAGGACAGTTTATGACCTGCAAAAAAATTAGTACCTCAATTAATTTATGCAATGGTAAATCCATTTAACTGAATAATTGTAGGAGCAGGTTGTATTACCGATTTCGAAAGGGAAGAAAGATCTGATAGCCAAAGCGTTGAAAGGCTTGAAGAGCTTATATTAAGAAAATTGAGATTACTGCAACCATCTAATTTGAGAACCGAGAGAGATCGCTTCTCTGAGACAAACCTAGTTAGCTCATCCCTGTGGAAAAACAGGTCACCGAAGTCAGTTAAGAGACTCAAGGCTTGAAATGCAAATCGAAAACATATATCTATTAAACCAGAGTTTCTTGAGTTACAGTGACAAAAAGCAAAAAAAAAAAGATAAAGGTGTAGTGTGAAACAAAATTCTCAGAATATACATCTTAAATCATATAACACTAAAAGTTTGGTAGCACACAATTGCAATTTTGCAAATGTGTTCTTATTAGAAACTAGTCGTATACACATTGCTTTCTACTCAAAATGAAACAATAGAAATAACACAAAGTTAGCTATCACAGGAATACAATGTATGGAAAGGTGGCATTTCACAATAGACTCAAAATATTTTGGAGATTTTCACCGTACCCTGTCATTCGGTTGGCTGCGCTTCCGACCATGCTGATCTCCAGATATTGCAAATTAGGGCAAGAAAATGCAACGCATGCGAGCATAGTAGCATCAATATCACTGCATCAAAATAACAAAGAACTCATTAGACAATTGCTAACTTGCTAGCGCATTCAAGAGATTGAATGAAACGTATGTTTTAAACATTTATATTCTAAAGATCTATTTGAATTCGGCCCTCAGAGTAGATCTAGATGAACCAACAAAAGCAGATCGACAGTGAGACAGAATTTCACTTTCCCTCACTGTAAGAGCTGCATTTTGCTGGCTTTCTGCAGGACACAATCCATATCCACGACAAAGTTCACATGAAGAAACACCAGATCCACCCAGTAATCCCCCTATTTTGCCTAAATGACCAAGACAACTTCTGAATCACCGAATCAAGCAAATCTATTCTTCCAAAATCCGAACTAAATCTTGTGGCATGGTTAACCAGAATTATGTACTTAGTGCACATAACAGGTTTCGTTCCTCTCTGAAGATTTTCATCTGTTACCTTTGTTCCCAAACACCAAAAGAAATATCTTAGCATCACACTATATTATCTTAGCATTTGGGCACACATATTGTGCATCACAGATGGACAACTATCAGATCCATGCTTCAATCTCACAAGCCCATCCAGATCCAGGCACCAATCAAAGAAAAGAAAGATCCATAGACCAATCTCCCGGAACCAAGATGATGACTAGATCCTCCCCGATAAAACCCCACATCAACCAAGAACCCAAAATTCGGACAGACAGATCGGATCAGCACCACCAAACCTTTGCTTATCCCATCAATCATTTCACAAACACAAATGTTTCGGTCGTGGGATTTCTTGCATCGTGAGATGCGTGCGATGAATCTAAACCAGGCACCGCTCAAAGATCCACAGGTGGAGAGATCTCACGGCACCAGATCAGAATCAGATCGCACATCTGCACCGTGTTCTTCTTTTAGCTTAGCAATGTCACGGTGAATTTTTAGCGAGATTTTCGCTGTCCGATTCGTTAGCTAGTAAGTTAGTTAGTTATATCCCGGTTTCCAACAAGGTTAGCGGATTGCATCACCGATGTTCCATGGTGCGTTCATGGGAAGAAGATCCACGGGGATGCGGCACGAAGCGAGACCAAACTCATCGATCTCGCGGATCCATGGTGTTCGACAGGTGGAAGGGAAGCTGTTTGGTTATTTTTTGTCTCCTCACCTTTCCATGCGGAGCACGAGCCTGGAGAGCGCGGGGCAGCGGGGGAGGAGGGCGCCGACGGGGCGGACACCGGCGGCGCGGAGGCGGAGCTCGTCGGCGGCGCGCCACACGCGGCGCGCGCACCCGCGCCACCCGCGGCAGACGGCGGCGGACGCCGCCACGCCCCTCGGCGGCAGCCTCCGCATCACCTCCACCACCACCTCCCCCGGCACCCGCCGCCCGCCGCCCACCTCGACCCACCCCCGCGCCTCCCTCTCCTCCTCCTCCGACGAGGAGGAGTCCACCTCCACCACCTCCACCTTCACCTTCTTCTCCGGCGGCGGCGGCGGGGCCGCCTCGTCGAAGTGCAGCGCCCTCCTCGGCGGCTTCTGCTCCTCCCCGGCGACGGCGCAGACGTGCCCCTTCTTGGGGAGCCCGCACCTGCCGCAGTTGTAGCTGCCACGCTTCTTCCCCACCGCGGCGGCGGCGGCGAGGGCGGAGGAAGCGTCGGAGGAGGAGGCCATGGGGAGCAAGCGAGCTTGCGGAGGCGGAGATCTGAGAGGTCGAGGTGGGGAATGGGTAGGGTTTGGATTTGGGAGGGGGAGGGAAATAGAGGGGGAGAAGAGGCAGAAGAAGGCGGGAGATTGGGGGAGGGGTTGGCGCCATTTTTGTGGCGCGAGAGGGTTTTTTTTTCCTTTTTTGGAATTTGCGGGTTCGCGCCGGCGCGAGCGGGACGGGGGACTGGGTGCGCCGCGTGGACTGGGTCCATGGTGGGCCGTGGGCCGGTGGTGGTACACACGGTCACGAGGGTTTTTGGAAGGCTGTTACGACAGTGATGTTTTATACTCGTTGGGGGTGTGCATCAACCTCTCGTGCTTTAGATTTGCAAACAGTTTATGGTAGGTTTCACCTAGAGTTTTAAAAATATTTTGAGATCACTACTTAAAAAAAATAAATAGTAGTATAGTAAGCAATGGTTTACGTTTACGGTACCTTGACAGGCTAGGCTGTAAGCAAAAGAATATACACTATAATCCAAATCAATTTTGGTACTCCTACATTTGATCTATCTTTTTTTATGGTTCTTACTCCATCCGTTCCAAAAAAAACTCAACCTATAAGAAGATGTGTTGAGTTTTTTTAGGATGGAGGGAGTACATCTTATCTGTCACGTATTATCAAACAACAATAATACTAATGAACAAATAGAAGGCTTTATCATAGCATACCCTACATGGGCCTCCTTGTCTCATAGTCTAATGAAAATTAAAGCACTGAAGAGTCAGATCTCTCTTATAAACTCTCGCGAAACCTCCATATGCTAGAGAGAAAAACTTTCCCCTCCTCCTTTGGCCCCTCTTCCTCCTTGAATCCGGTGACACAAGGGAAGGGAAGGGGTCGGATCTCTCTTATTATGTGCTAATAAGGTTTCTAGTTTTACGTGCACCAAAAATCCAACTCCCAAATGGGAGATCGAACGGGGCCTTAGAGCAGGTACAATACAATAGCATACTACTCTCTCTGGGCTAATAATACTTGTCGTTTTAGACAGGTGTGATGTCAAATTTTAGAATCTTTGATTTTGAATCATTTCTAAAATATTTGTCTTTCAAATATGGTGACTACATGTATAGATTAGTCTTAAAAAGTACTTTAATAAAATCATATATTTGTTAACACTTTTATACATATTACAATGGAAAATAATGGTCAAAGTTGGTTTTTGGAAATCGTGCCCTTGTCCAAAACGACAAGTATTATCAATCCGGAGGGAGTATAAGCCAGCTATAAACACATGTTGAGATGATAAATGAGGAGAGAGAAGAGCAGCGGGCTACAGATTTGTAGCCAGCTGTAGTACAGATTACAAGACGCAATGTGTGTATTACATGTGGGACCAAGTATCACTAGTGTAGTATATATTTATAGGTAACTATTGTATGAATTAGCTATTAAATTAACTATATACTCTCTTCGGGCTAATAATACTTGTCGTTTTAGACAAGGGTGAAGTCAAACTTTAGAATATTTGATTATAAATCATTTTTAAAATATTTGTCTTTCATATATAGTGACTACATGTATAGATTAGTCTTAAAAAGTACTTTAATAAAATCATATATTTATTAACAATTTTATACATATTATAATAGAATATAATAGTCAAAGTTATTTTTTTGGAACCGTGCTCTTGTCCAAAACGACAAGTATTATCAATCCGGAGGGAGTATGATTTATAATTAGTAGCTGGTTATACTATTAAACTCTTATGGTAATGGCTTATGGTAATGGCTTGATACTGAAGGAACAAAAGGAGTAGTAATAATACCTTTGAGGGTTTGGGTGACTGAAGTTACCACAACAGACAGCATCACAGGCTCACAGCACAATGGGATAAATCGTGAAGGTTAAGCTATTTAGCTTTCTTGTTATGAAGCAAGATGATGATGACGACGACGACAACGTGGAGGCGAGGACCACTTTGGCTTTGGTAGACCCAAAAAAAAAAACACTATATGAATGATATCATGTAACAAAAATGGACGCGATCCAGCTTTGCTGGGCGCTCGTCGATCGATGACGGATCGTCCAAAGCACAGACAGGAAAGTGGCTTTTTGGCCCACGCAACACTACATGCATGACTCCGAAAGGAAAAAAAAAGTCCAATTTGAATCCCTTAAATATAGGTTGAATCTAATTATTACTTCCTCCGTTTCACAATGTAAGTCATTCTAGCATTTTTCACATTCATATTGATATTAATATCTATCTAGACTCATTAATATCAATATAAATGTGGGAAATGCTAGAATGACTTACATTGTGAAACGGATGGAGTATCTCTCAACGGTAAAATCGAGTATATTGTATCCTCCAACTGTTAAAACCGTGCAACATGACTCCCATGACAGTATTGACGGTGGTATTCGCTGATGTGGCAGCCTAGTCATCACAACAAAATTAATAAAATAAAATAGGGCCTACGTGCCATCCTCTCCTCTCTACGCAGATCAAGTATGCCAAAAGATCGAAGCCCATCCAGCCCATTGGGCTGGAATATATATCTATATAGGCCCAACAAGCTACAACCTTCGGCCCACAAACAACGTCCATTTCCAGAAGAGCACCGTGTTCTAAAAAAATTCTAAGCATACAATAATCTCAACCGTTTCATTTAGATATATAAAAAATATGTATAATATAAAATAGGAAAAAGTATGAATTACCCCCCGAACCACAAAACCAGACATATTACACCTCGATCTATTGATACCGGATGAATTACCCCCCCCGACTCAATCCTAAGAGGTTTTTCTCCTACGTGGCATACACGTGTCGCTGACGTGGAAATTCAATCAGCAAAAAAAATAAAAGAAAATATAGGGCCCACCTGTCATTATCTCTCTTCCTCCTCCCCCTTCTCTCTCTCAGGCGTGTGTCGACGGGCAGTGGGCGGCGGCAGCGGCGCGCGGACGGGCGGTCGGCGTGCGGGGGGCGACGGCGGAGCGCGGGAATGGCACGGCGGGTGACGGGCGGCGCCGAGGAGGGCAGTGGAGGATGCGGCCTACGTCGTCATCATCGTCCCTCTCTCTCTCTCGGCTCAGGCAAGCGGCGGGCGACGAGTCCTTCCCGTGGAGGGCGCGGCGGACGCGGTGGGGAGGGCGAGACGGGCGGTGGGCGGCGCCGAGGACATTGGAGACGGCGGTCGTCTCTCTCTCTCTAGTGCCGTCGGGAGAGCCGAGCAAGGAGAAGGGCGGCGGATACTGACCGGTGGCCTCCAAAGAGGGGCGGATGAGGTTGGAGATTGAAGACGACGACTGCGATCTCGGGCGCGGTGGCGGCGATGGCGGTGGCCACGGCCATGTCGACTCGCTGCCGTGCACGCCGACCTCCCGACGGCCCGAGAGAGAGGGGTGAGAGAGAGAGACCGACGGCCCCAGGTTGAAGACGACGACGAGGAGCTCGGGCGCGGTGGCGGCGGCCGTCGGGGGCTCGGAGCGGAAGGGCGGAGACGACCTCCGCCTCCACCCTCGCCACTTCACCACACTCCGCCGCGACAGGGAGGGGGGGCACGGCAACACGAGGGCAGCGGGGCGGCGCGGCAGCAGGGGGGCACGGGCGCCATCACGCTCGCCGCCCACCTCTCCACCACGCCCGCCGCGCCTCCGCCACACCCGCCGCGCTCGCCACTAGCCGCACCCCCGCCACGCCCGCCACCCGCCGCGCTCGCCGTCCGCAGCACCTGCCACGCCGGCCGCGCGCCCATCGCCGGCCACCAACTCATCGCTCCCAACGACATCTGAGATAGTGACAGAGAGAGATTGAGAGAAGAGGGGAAGAGAGATGTGTGAGAGTATGACAGGTGGACCCTATCTTTTTTAAAAAAAATTGCTTGACTGGATTGCTACGCGGACGCCACGTAGGACGATACCGCTTTGGATTGGGTTGAGAGGGGTTATTCGTCCGGTATAGATAGTTCAGGGTATAAAATGTCTGGTTTTGTGGTTTAGGGGGGTAATTCATACTGTCGTCATAGTTCGGGGAGTAATTCGTACTTTTTCCTATAAAATATGCTCACAATATAATATATATATCGGTGCTAATAAGAGTTTAGTCGGGAAAAAATTATTACATATAGTTTTTCCTCTAGAAGCAACTGATGATAAATGATAATATATCAGTGCAGTGCACAAAGCTTTTGGCTAATTAATACTCCCTCCGTCCATACTCGTAAAAGAAGTTATTTTGGACAGCGACAAGGTCTCCAAAACACAACTTTGACTTCTTATTTTTATAAAAATATTTATTGAAAATGATATATGTATACTTTTATGAAAGTATTTTTCAAGACAAATCTATTTATATATTTTTTACATTTTCAAACTCAACAACTTGAGAGTTATTAATGATTTATATTTCTAAGGTTTGACTTAAACATTGTCCTAAACGATTTTCTTTACGAGTACATAGGGATTAGTTAATTTTCCGAATCCCTGGTAAGATTGAATTTAATTAGGAGGAGAATCAGCATTATTCTAGAGAACTGCTGCTAGCAGAATATCTTGGCCGTCCGTTCGCCGAGGGTTGATCCGATCCGTCCAAAGCTACGCGCTGACTCGTACGTGCATGGGAGGATCGACGAAGCTTCTTGCTAAGGTTTACTATTATTAGAGAGAGAATCATCTAATCAATCACTAATTAAGTACAGATATTACAGAGCTAGCACAGAGTGAAAATAGCCGGCCTAGCCAATTATATATTTTCTTGTATAATTAATCAATCAATTGATTAATTAGCCTGTGTCACTGCGTGTGGTTGATACTGTCAGCTAGCTGCAAACATGACACGTATTAGGCCAGAGCAGGCGATCGATCCATCGACAGCAATTAGCAAATTAAGCCGGCAGATCGATGAGATCGATCTCTCGTGTCATCTCTGTCTTGATCATGTGCATGCCTGGCCGGCCGTGTGCATAACTGCATATGCAATATAGCTCGAGAATATCTGATCGATCAGCGGAATCCGCTACCGAATTAATCGATCGATTTGATTAATCAGATGCTTGATTAATTAATTCCCCTCGTCCCAAAATCAGAACCGTTGATAATTATATTTACTCTCCTGTTAA